TTATGAGGCTTTATTCCCAGCACTGGAACCCTGGGCTTTGAGGTCTGTCCTGGGGCTGGGGTATCTCACTCCCCAGGTGTCCCTCCCCGTTTTTATCTACCATACATGAATGTGGGACTGCTTGTTCTGCTGGCCCCTGCCCAGCTGCCTCTGCCTCTCTTTCACTGCCATGCTGCCACCACACCCAGACCTCTCCTCCCTAGCTCCTTGTCTCTGCCCCTCCTACTCATCTGGATGAATATTTCTTCTTTAAATCCTTAGTTATGGGACTTCCATATAGTTCATTTTTCAGGCAGTTCTGGTTGTATTTTATTTTGAGGTTAGCTGTGATCCTTCTTATAGTTGTGTGAGGAGGCAAAGCGTGTCTACCTACACCTACATCTTGGCCAGAAATTTAACTTCACAACTTTTTATAAGTGGCAAAAATGAGATTGTTTATTAATCTGACCAAGAGATACAGTCTCTCTGTAGCATATAAAAATGAGCAAAACTATATAAACGTAAAATTATGTTTAGAACTTCTCTAGACATCCGAGAATTACAATTAATTACCTTAATTTAGTATTAGTGTAGAGATTTAAATTACAAATCATAGAATTTCATTTAAGTCGATGTACTATGGAACAATTACTGTTAATATAAAAAGTTTGTCAGGCCCTGGCTGATGTGGCTCAGTTGGTTGGAGTGTCATCCCTTGACCAAAAAGTTGCAGGTTTGATTCCCCATCAGGGCATATATCTAGGCTGCAGGTTGGATCCCTGGTCTGGGTGCATACGATCCCTGGATGTTTCTCTCTCTCTCAAAGTAATGAAAAAGTGTCCTCAGGTCAGGGTTTTAAAAAAAGTTTGTCAGAATAATTATTGAGTTTTTTTTTAGTAAACTTACATTTCTCATGTTCCTAAAACATTATGTAAGAGTAATGTTAAGTCATTTGATCATTACATTCGTGTGAATTTAGGAAATTCAAATTAATTGTTCTGTCAGTAAGGAACCAAGCTCAAATAAAATGCATACTTGTACTATACTTTACATTAAGGAAGGATATAGATGTGTTTTTAACCAAACATTAAAATATAATGTGGCAAAGATCTGCTTTGGTTATTTGAACATAGATTGTTTCTGTATTAGAAATTTCTGTAAGAAGAACTTTTTTAATCTAACACATTTAAAGTATTAGAAATTTAATTTCCTTCTTGGAATTTTCAGAATAGGTGATTTATGCAAGTGTGTATTTATCTCCATAAGCCAGTCAGACAGAACTCCTTTAAGAATGTACTAACCTGATTTTGTGTTTTTGAGCAACATGATTTCCCTGGTTTTGTCAGGTGAATCCACTGGGATGTTGGTCAAACCTCCAAAATTGCTAAAGAAAGTTTCAAAAGGGTAAAATTATAGCCCTCATATGAATGTAATATGAGAATGTATCAAAGATTCTACATACCTCATTCGTTAATTAGAGCACCAGTAAGGATGTTCAGATTGGTTCAAAGAAAAATTTGATCTATAGAGACATTCTCTACCACACAAAATTCATCTTCATTACCATGGATGGGAATCATTTACATTATTATTATTATTTGTATTATTATCCATTTTCTGTAATTTAATATCTATCTCTACAGACTTGTAAAATAGTTTAGTCAAAGTCACATACCTCTTATGATCACATGACTCCAGAGGGTCCTTTAAAAAAGCCCAGCATTCCATAGAGAGTTCTCTTTTGACAATTTCAAAATCTTCCATAATTTTCCTGAAATATGATTGATTCAGCATGTGTAATCTACATTCTCTATTTTTGGATTATACTTCTCTAACATCAGATTTATATATTCAACAACAGGCTGGATATCTCTGGATATTCTTGGCTATCTTAATCTCATTATGTTGTAAGCTGAATTCATATTTCCCCTTGCTCCTAAACTAATCTTCTGTCTCTTATACTTTCTATTTCACTTGAAGATACCATTATTCTCCCAGTTATTCATCAGACTAGAAAGTTATCCTTGGCCCCTCCTCTGACAGGGTTCAAGACACAATACCCCAAAATATGACACCGTGGCATATTGAATATTTTAACCTGAAGGAATTTGAAAAGTGATTCAAGGAAGGACTCTGTGACCTCCTTTCTCTCCCCAAAGCAGATCCTGAGTCCTTCATGTTAAAAGTTCCCTCTGTTTACCAGGAGTAAAGAAGCATTCTTCCCTCTGAAGATGAATCAGAATGAACAGGCCTTTCCAAGTTTCTCCCAGTTTACTACTCACACTGTTTATATCCTTTTGTCTTATCATATTTCCCCATGACTTTCCACACATCATCAAACTTAGCATAAAAACAATTAGGTTTACCTGTTTCTTTGGGTCATCATTTCCTTATGAAGCTTCCCATGTCATGTAAAATTTATATTAAATAAATTTATATTTTCCCCCTACATTTCTAACCCCCACCCCTACCCTTGAAACTAAAAATGAATCACTTGGCTCTCTTGATCTGTTCTAAATATTTCTCAATTCTATCGATCTGCTTAGTTCAGGCCCTCATCCTCACCCCCCACCCCACTTTAACAGTTGGAGTCACGGCACCGTAACCTTGGTGGCAAGAATGAAAATGGCACCAGGTGTTAGACCAGTGACGTCAAACCAGTCCTTGGCTCAGCAACTTCAGTCCTTGAGTTCTGGCTAAGAAAGAATTCGGAGTCAAAACTCAAACTATAAGCAAATGTTTATTTAGAAAACCATAGAGGTAGAAGAAGTGAGCCGTAGAGGAAGTGGGTTCAGGAGACAAATTACAAAGGCAAAAGAAGGGGGCCCTTGGAGCTTAGAGAGAAGGGTAATGGTAATGGTCCAGGGGAAAAGAAGATTGAAGGGGAAAGGCGCAGGCATACTCCAGGAAGGGAGAGCACCCCTTCATCCTCTCTCATTGGATTATTGCAACAGCCTTTGAAATGATCTCTCCGCCCACATTTTGCCAAACCCAGATCTCACATTTGTTGCCAAAATTTTCAAAATCACACATCTGACTCTAACGTTCTCTTGCTTAAATCTCTACATAGTTTTACCATAACTCAAAGAATAGAGTTCTCTTATTGTTGTACTCAAGGGCCTCCATGATCTACATTCTTCATTTCTATAACACTGAACAGATTGTCTTTCCCAGCCTACCTTGCCTCTGTGCCTGTTTGTACTCCCCCTCTCTGCTAAGAACAACCACTTCACCTCTCTTCCCCAACTAACTCCTGTATGTCCTTCAAGACTCTGAAGTTTTCTTTTTCTTCTCAAGATGGTTTAAAAAATAATATGTGGAAAAAATGGAAAAGTAGAAGGGGAGAATGTTTGGACAGCAAATTTGAAGGGTTAGTACAAATTGCCCACAGCAAAGATCCTGACTTGAAAAGTTAAGTTCAGGCAGAGGAAGATTTTTTTCAAAAGGAGGGCCTCAGAGGAGGGTGGCTGAATCTGTTAGAAAAAATATAACTTCTATGGCAAGTTCTTGTGAACAGTTCTTTCAGTATTAACAAATGATGTCCCAAATATAAATTGTGCATTTTCAGATTTTTAAAAATGAATAAAAATGTTTTGAAATGAAGCTACTTCTTCTCTCATAACAAGCTCAGAAAATGCTTGTAATAGAGATAAAAAGTAGAAAAGGTAGATTATTTGTAATTATATAACTACAATCATTGTTGATATAAACAATTGGAGAAAGGTGAGAGTTGAGGCCATTGCCATAATTTTCTCCTTCTCAAAGGAAGAAATAACCACCCTACCAGTGAGGAAAGAAAAATCTTAAACCTTAAGGAAGGCTAGATTTTTTCCCAGCCTACAGTTCCTGTCATTGCTTCTTGAACTAAACACCACTAAATAAACAACCACTTTGCTACTGAAATACCTGTTTTATTTTTAACTTTTAAACAGCTTTGTTGAGGTATAATTGACATTCAATAAGCTCTGCAAATTTAAAGTGTATAATTTCTTAAGTTTTGACACCACCACAATTAAGATGATGAAGGTGTATATCACCCTATAACGTCTTCTTGTGCCCCTTGTATTTTTTTATAGTTTTAAATAAATGGAATCATATTCCACTGGTTTTTTTTTTTTTTGGTTTGGCATCTTCCATTCAGCAATAATCCTTTTGAGACTCATCCATGGTGTTCTGTGTTTCAACAGTTCATTCTTTCTTATGTAAATAAGCTTACATTTAAAGTTAAATAACATTGACCTTTTCAAGAAAATCTAGAGTCTAAGGCCCAAGAGGAAAAATTATGTCTTGCTCATGGTAAAGAATGTGGTGGGGAGAGGGGCAGTGTATCATCGATCACCTACTTGTGCCTGTTCAAAAAGTAAACGTGGAGAAGAGTGTTTCTTAGTGTCAACAGGTGATGTACACAATGAGTGAGTCCATAGGAGGGGCAAGGAATAAAAAGTATTTTCCTCTTCATTACCATTTATAACACAAACTCTGCCCACCTCAGTTCAATAAGCTTTGAATATATAAGACACAACCAGTTCCTAAAATTTCAGGACTGCCACATTATGATAGATAAACCATTTCATTGCTATCTCAGTTTCCACAGTCTCCAAAGCAGTTTAAGTATTAATGTTATCCACGTGCTCTTCTACAGGAACAGTGAAACCCTTTAAAGGATAGTGTTTAAAGTAATCAAAAATAACAACCAGGGCTAATATTGACTGTTTTACTAAGAACTATTTTGAAATCAGAAGAAAAAATAATACGAATTCCAGGAATCCTCAACTAATAAATGGGCTGTGTTCTGCATGTTTGGAACTATTAGCACAGTTTCCTATGGAAATATCAATAATTCTAGTAAAGAGATAGCATATTCTGGGCTTGTCACAGTCTTGTACATGCAATGGAAACCCCTAAGGTATGATTTTGACTGTTCTGTGCTGTAAAGGCCAGAGTGAATGAGCTGCCCAATGGCTTCCTAGAACTACAATTCCCAGAATGCCACAGTGCAGGCTTCCGGGTCCACTCCCTCCCGCATTCTAAACCCTGCTCTGCTGCTACGTGTTCATGGCTTCTCCTAGCAAGGCTGTAATTGTGCCCGGGAACGGAGGCGGGGATGTGGCCACCCACGGCTGGTATGGCTGGGTGAAGAAGGCGCTGGACCAGGTAAGAGACTCCCCTTGCTGTGCTGGGAAATTAGCCTGGAGCTGGAGGGGATGGAAGAGATGTAGGACTGAAGTTTGAACGTGTGCCTTTCAAGTCTCCCCCAAGTCCAAGCTCTGTGTGTGTTTATTCCTTTCCTCTGCCGACCTGTCTTAAAGTCTAAAACTAGTGATCCGAAGGTTGATAAAACGACCCGGAGGACTTTGGCTTGGTCTTTAGAGTACAAAGCACCATCTCTTAAAACTACGGAGACCAACCCTCCCAGCGCCCCGCCCCCGGCGGTGTCTGCTACTGGTTCAGATTTGGGACTACTCATAGAAGTTTTACTGCTCTCTTCCTGTTTCAGATTTTTAAAAAATCTAACATGTAATATTAACACATACGAAGGGCATATATGTAATATGTAAACTATGACTAATGTAATCAATACCTAAGAATCCTTGACCAAACTAAAATCTAGTACATTACCAATAGAAGCCATCTGTGAGTCCCTACCCATCCCATTTCCCGGTCATTCTAAATTGTTTTCATTTGCTCTTTGTAAAATTAAAATACATTTGCAACCTATGTGTATATCCTTTAAAAAACATATTGCTTAACTTGACTTCTTTGTGAGCTTTATAAAAATGGTATTCTACTGTAGGGTGTCTTGTGCATCTTGATTTTTTAAAAAATTATCTTCCATAACCAACACAATAAGATCGCTTCCTGTGTTGCTGCCCTCTAGAGCTATAGAGTGTTTCGTGAATAAAATCCCTGAGTTACGTCTAAAATCCATGGCCAGAGGTATAAACCAAAACAGCTGGAACTGTCCAAGAGGATGGGATTCCAAGTTTCTGTACTACATTTTATCTACTTCCTGGCACACAGTCTGTTTCGCCCCAAGTCAGCCTGTCTTGAACATATTCACTTATAGATACAGGTCTTTCTATATGGAGACCTATAGAGCTGGCTGGTTTTGGAACTACAGATGAAGTTTATTAGAGGGATTGTGTATTCATTCATATGTAATCCTGTAGTGTTTAACCCACTTCATTTCACAGCATAAGCAAACACTTATTGAATAAAGATCATATTGTCTCATTTATTTATTGCTTTTTATTTTTAAAATATTTTCTTTACTTATTTTTAGAGAGGGGAAGGGAGAAAGAGAGGGAGAGAAATGTCAGTGTGAGAAAACATCGATCACTTGCCTCTCACATGCCTCCCACTGGGGACCTGGCCCTCAACCTAGGCATGTGCTCTTACCAGGAGTCCAACCGGCAACCTTTTTCAGTTCGCAGGCTGTCAATCAATCAACTGAGCCACATCAACCAGGGCTATTTATTGGTTTTTAGAGAGAGGGAGGAGGAGGGGGAAGAAGAGAGGAGAGAGAGAAACATCAATTCATTGTTCCACTTACTTATGCCTTCATTGGTTGATTGTTATATGTGCCCTGACGAGGGATTGAACCCACAATTTTGGTGTATCAGATGACACTCTAACCAACTGAGCTACCTGGCCAGCGTGGTAGCATACCTTATTAACAAAGTATTAGTTGTAATTAACATGTTTATTACAGCTTTTCCTCCCCTTATGTCATAGATACCTGGTTTCCAGTGTTTGGCTAAAAACATGCCTGATCCAAGTGAGTATTAAAAGTGTTTTCAAATAGTCTCATCTTGTTCAGTTTTGATCTTGCATTTTCCTGGTAGAAAACAAGAGTATCATAATAGAGCAGCCAAAGAGAGTATATACCTAAGAATGAATGATGGCAAGTAGCTTGGGGAGAAGGGTGAATACAAAGAAAAAATATTATAGAAAATTCTAGTAAGGATCAAGAAAAGCACTTGGACTTGGTAAAATTTAATTTTCAACTTTTCAAGCAATTGATTTTCCCTTCTATAAATCAATAGATATTTCTAGGCAAAATTTATGCATATTTCAGTTGAGGCAGAGATAGGATAAAACTTTATAGCATCTATAAAATCCTAATATTTAACAATTAACAGTGCCACTTTTGTTCTGAGTTTGACTATGATTTGTCTCAGGAATTCCCATTTTGAAAAGAAAGAAATGATTTGAGAGGCAATACTGTCATTTTAAGTTGGGAAGCTTAAAGCATCAGTTATTTTCATTATATCCTCAGTATTTTCTTATAAGAAAATGGTAAAAAATAATACCAAAACTACAGGTTTGATTTTTTTTCAAATAGCAACATGCAAATCTTTGGCTACATTGAAATGGCCCTATCTCCCATTTGGTCCTGAAATTTTAAAAGTTGTGAACTACTTAGTAGTCATCTATTAGAAAGGTGGGCAGCATTCGACTAAGGCTGTCTCTATCAAGTGACAGACTCTTTCTTTATCCTGAACCTTAGTTATAGCCCGAGAGATCTTCTGGCTGCCCTTCATGGAGACAGAGCTGCACTGTGATGAGAAGACCATTATCATAGGCCACAGTTCTGGGGCCGTTGCAGCCATGAGGTGTGATCCTTGTTGAATTACCACCCAGTGTGGGCTCCAACCAAACTTGTTTCAGAAACACTTTGTGTATATCTGGTTTCCACTGTAGAGGAAACAGTGTTGACCTCAAAAACAGTAACATAATCTGTCCTAATTCCTTTCTAGTTTGGATAGTGATTTTTTTTTGCTTTTACTGAGATAGTGGTATTTTTAAAACAAGTGGTTCCAACTCCAGCAGCTGACCATCCTTTCAGAAAAACTCCTCAGTCTTCAAGGCTCCCAAGTAGCACTGATGTCATCTCTACCTTTACTGCCCCCAGGCTGCTTACAGGCTTCATTGCAGTTCCTTAACATGCCAAGTGTACATCTAGCTAGCTTAGGCCCATACTTTTTCTTGTTCTACCTGGAACTCTGTCCCTAGATACTTGTATGGCTTTCTCCTCCTCTTTAGGCCCCTTTTAGTAAGGCCATTTTTTTTAATGTTTAAATTTTTATTTATTGGTGAGAGGCAGACATTGATCTTTGTTGTTTAATCCATTTACGCATTGGTTGACGTTTGTTATGTGCCTTGACGGGTATCAAACCCACAACCTTGGCATATCAGGATGATGCTCCAACCAACTGAGCTACATGGCCAGGGCATTTCAGTGAGATCTTCTAATCACTCCATATGAAACAGCAATCTAACTCAACTGGCTCCTATTCCCTTTACACCTTATTTTCCTCCTTACTACCTATACCACTCTTTACCATCTGATGTCCTGTTTATTTCTTGTCTGTCCCCTGCCAATAGAATGGAAGGTCCATGAGGGTGGACTTTGTTCACTCTGACACTGAAACCACAGTCCCTGTCCTGCACATAGCAGGTGTTCAATAAATATTTGTTAGCAGTTAGAGGTTGTTACTCCTTCCCTCCTTAACGCCCCCGTCCTTAAGATTTATGGACATATATCCCTGATGCTCTCCATAGAACATTACATCTCTCTAGGTTTATAAAGCCTATGGTTTAGGGACTTAGCTGGCTGAATTAGCCTGTTAGGGTTGGGTTACTTCCATATTTGCCAGGTTCAATGACATGGAGTGTGTGATAAAAGAGATACCTTTCTGCTATTGCATAGTGTTTAAAATATGGTTGGGTTGGGGGAGGTGTTGTGCCTTAAAATACTTGATCCCAAACTTCTGAATACATGCTCTGGGACTAAGCCTGGAAATCTATATGTTGATGCATATTACAGGTAGATTAATGCATAAATCAAGGAATATGGTTATACTTTTTATATTTATTTGGAAAGGACTGCAGAAGAGGTTTGGACTACCTTGAAGAAATGAGCAGAAACTCATCAAGTAGCCATGGTTAAGTGATTAACCATTGGCTTTGTAATTTGGCAGTTTCCTTACTATTTTTCATTTTAACTTCAGCAGCATAGCACAGGCTTCGTGTAAACTAAACCAAATGAGTTTTCAGGTGGTTAACTGACTTTTTGGTGATCAGGTTTAACATTAAATATTAGCTGACATCATTTCTCTCTCCAGGTATGCAGAAACACATCGAGTATATGCCATTGTATTAGTGTCTGCATACACGTCAGACTTGGGGGATGAAAATGAGCGTGCAAGTGGTAAGTCTGAAGGCAGAAACCCCAGAAAAAGCCCTTCCACTAGTAATAGGGCTGGTTGTTCAGGTTCTAAAACAGCATTGTCTTTCAGATAGGCTAAAAAAATGCAAAAGCACATGAAAAATGTTTACTACCCATCTAGATATAAGCTTGGCACTTTGAGAGGTTGTAGACCATTTCTAATCCATCGTCTAGAATGGAACCCTTGAGGCCTGACTATTTGAACCATATACTTCCTCTTCACAAGTACCTATGGTATCAAGCCCTACAGATTTGAAAACCACTTAGGTTCTGATTCTTTGTGTTTCTGCTATGGTCTTCACTTGATATTTTTAAATGCCTAGAATGGAAATTACCCATAGGCACTGATAGGTTGTATATATTTTTCCCCATAGGATATTTCAACCGCCCCTGGCAGTGGGAGATGATCAAAGCCAACTGCCCTCACATTGTACAGTTTGGCTCCACTGATGACCCTTTCCTTCCCTGGAAAGAACAACAAGAAGTGGCTGACAGGTTGGAAGCCAAATTGTACAGATTCACTGACCGTGGCCACTTTCAGAACATGGATTTTCCTGAACTGATTAATGTGGTAAAGTCTATGCTGAAAGTACCAGTACAGGCACAGTGATTTCTGCTGTTTTGCATACCAATATAATAGAGCAATTATAAGATTATAGATAATCATAAAAAATGCCTGCAAAAACAAACATTAGTTTCAATGTTCAAATTAAATTACAAACAGCATTTCCATTTTCTATAGACTCTCCATCTCCCCAACTTGCTATGAACTAAAGCAGTATTTTCCCAGTATAAGGGACATAAGGACATCTCAGACATCCAGTGAGTAAGACAGAAATGGAACCCAGGTTTCCTGACTTCCAGTCCAGAGTAAAACAAATAGATTTCATGTATGTTATAAGAGTTGTACTCCTTTTTGAAGTGAAACTTTTCTATTTTATTGGAGAAAGAAAACATGACTAAAGGTCCAGAGTGTTGGCTTGGAGCTCAAAACACTAGCTTGCTTGTTTTGAGCTGGCCCAGGATATTAAACCCAGATTGAGGCCTTCTTCACCTTTGACACCATGCCCCCCAACCTGTTCGAGTCCCTCAAACAGGTTGAGAGAGAATAAATTATAAGGATGCTATGAAGCAGGCGTTTGCAAGGATCAGGCAGGGAATATGAGCAGTCACCTTCTTTGTATAAGACCTCAGTGGTAAAGGTAAGGGCAATGTGGAGAACTCATGTCATGTGGAAATGTGGCAAGGTGTGGCCAATTTTCTGATTTTTAAGAAAAAACTTTATACAGTGGTTTTTATATTCAGGGAAGACATATGTACATTGTACACAAATTATGTCCAGTTTATATACATATGGATTAGTTGGCAACTACAGTATAAAGAAAAAATTTAAAAACACTGTAACACACACAAAGTACAAGCCATCCATTTGTGGCCTATACATATTAACTTAGCCAGGTGCTTTAAATGATTCTGTATAAAGCCTGAGAAATGAACACAATGTCAAAGGATAAAATCACGGAAACAATTTGGATTTTGTTAGTCTTAATTATTTTTTAAAATAATCTTTCCATTCCTCAAATTTTTGTTCTGTAGAGTTCTACCTTTTAACCTCTATGGTCCTTTAGATCTCTTTCAAGCATCATTCCATGATTTTTCTTCTGATCATGACCCATCAAAAAAATCCTTTTTCATTTTCCAACAATTTTTGCCTATTACGATCCCTAGTATTGCCTCTAACAATTTCTAGTCTACAGAACAGCAATTTTCAACTGGTGTGCCACAAGAATTTTTAAAACATGCAATACCTTTCTCTCCCTCTCTAAAATCAATAGATAAAAACTGAAAAACAAGAAATGCCAAGACTATGTTTGATGCCCAGTAGGGGCAGCACAGGCAAGAAACAACCAATGGATGCATGGATAAGTAGAATAACAAATAGATGTTTCTCTATCTCCCTTCCTCAGTCTCCCTCTCTAAAATCAACAAATAAAAATTAAAAATCAACAACAGCAATAAAACATGCAATACCTGACTGTTTAGTCAGGGGAACAGACTGCTTTCCCTTTAGATCAGGGGTGTGAAACTCATTTTCAGTGGAGGCCACATCAACCTTGCGGTTGCCTTCAAAGGGCCGAATGTAATTTTAGGACTATATAAATGTTACTACTCCCTAACAGTTAAGTGAGAGCTCAGCACTGCCACTGGGTAGAAACAAGGGGCCAGGCCAGATAAAACAAGGTGGAGGGCTGGATTCTGCCTGCAGACCTTGTGTTTGCCACCTATGCTTTAGATTGTCAAATTTAAAAAATGACAATGGCCAAAAACAACAGCCATCCAGTGTGAATGAATCAAAGTTATACTTTTCTCTGTTAATATTGGCAAAAAAATATTTTTGGTGTGCCACAGAATTTTAGTATAGTTTATGGGTGCCATGAAATAAAATAGGTTGAAAATTACTGCTATAGAAAGTTCTATTGGACAGCACTGGAGTTTAAGGCATGTATTTTATATTCCTCTCACCTACCATCAATAATGAATAAGTGACTCAACTTGAAATTACTTCTATTTGACTAGTTTGCTTAGTTGATCACTATAAAACTCTTGGCTCTACAAAATTTACTCAGCACCAAACTAAGATCAGAGTAGTTTCATGGAAGAATCCCATATAAACTATTCATTTAAGCCATCAAATCATAGATTTTCATGATTCTCTTTGACTGTTATCATGGATTACTATTAACTGTGGCAAGGCCTTGATAGACTCCAGAGACTATCTATTCTCAGGTGAGCAAAACACCTTATACTAAAGGAAAATTAACTGTAAGGATTAGGACCTCACTCACAAGTTTTTTTTTTGTTTGTTTTTGTTTTTGGTATTGTCATGAGTCTAGAGCCTCACTGTTTTGGTCGAAGATTACTCCTGTATGTAATATGCACTTAACTATTATCAGAAGTGCTGTATTTTAAAATGACCTCTTTTCTCCTTCAGTTAAATTCAGAATTTAAAATGTGATGATTAGAATAAACAATAAAAAATAAATCTCTAAAAAATAAAACATGCTATGAGAAAAATGTCTACAGAGACTCTTATTTTCTAGTGAGGCAAGGGATGGATATTTTTATGTTTTAGCTACAGATTGTAAACTTTAAAAATCAATCTCTGGTCCTGGCCAGTGTGGCTCAGTTGGTTGGAGCTGTCATCCATAGACCAAAAGGTTACAGGTTTGATCCCTGGTTGGGGCGCGCATGAGAGGCAACCAGTTGATGTTTTCTTGCCTCTCTCCCTTTCTGTCTCTATAAAAAGCAATAAAAGTGCCCTTCAGTGAGGATTAAAAAATTATAGTCTCTGGTTATCAAGATATAATGCCAAGTCTGATTTAAAAGCAGTTCCTAGAAAAATAGAGTATCTAGGAATAAACGTAACCAAGGAGATGGAAGACCTGTACTTACAAAACTACAGAACACTGAAAAAAGAAATTAAGGAAGACACAAATAAATGGAAGCATATACCATGTTCATGGATTGGAAGAATTAACATCATCAAAATGTCCATACTACCCAAAGAAATTTATAGATTCGATGAAATCCCTATTAAAGTACCAATGACATATTTCACATATATAGAATATTTCAAAAATGTATATGGAACAATAAACGACCCTGAATAGCTCAGCAATTTTGAAAAAGAAGAACAAAGTAGGCAGGATCACAATACCTGATATCAAACTATGTTACAAGGCTGCTGTAATCAAAACAGTCTGGTACTAGCATAAGAACAGACACAAAGATCAATGAAACAGAATAGAGAACCCAGAAAGAAACCCATGTCTCTATGATCAATTAATAGTAAAGGGGGCAGGAGCATAAAATGGAGTAAAAATAGCCTCAACAATACATGGTGTTAGGAGATCTGAACAGGTACATGCAAAAATAAATGAAACTTGACCAACTTACACCATACACAAAAATAAAGTCAATATGGATAAAAGGCTTAAATATAAATAATGACACCATATAAATCCTAGAGAACATAGGCCAGAAAATTTCAGATATCCCATGCAACAACATTTTCACCAATATGTGCCCTAGAACAAGGGACATGAAGGAAAAAATAAACAAAGGGGACTACATTAAATTAAAAAGCTTCTGCACAGCTGAAGAAAATATCAGCAAAGTAAAAAGGGAACCAACTGTACAGGAAAACATATTTGCCAATGATACGTAAGACATGAGTTTGACCTCCAAAATATATAAAGAACTCACATGACTCCACACCAGGAAGACAGACAATCCAATTAAAGGATCTGAACAGACACTTCTCCACGGAGGACAAGAGGGTCCATAGACATATGAAAGGATACTCAACATCACTAGCCATCAGAGAGATGCAAATTAAAACCACAATGACACACCACACCAGTCAGAATGGCTATCATAAACACATCAATAAACAAGGGCTGAGAGGTTGTGGAGAAAGGGAACCCTAGTAAACTGTTAGTGGAAATGCAGACAGGTGCAACTACTGTGGAGAACAGTATGGAATTTCCTCAAAAATCTGAAAATGGAACACCCTTTTGATCCAGTAATTCTACTGCTGGGATTATACCCTAAGAATCCTGAAACACCAATTCAAAAGAACCTACGCACCCCTATGTTCACAGCAGCGCTATTTACAATAGCCAAGGGTTGGAAACTGCCTAAGTGCCCATCAGCAAATGAGCAGATCAAAAAACGGTGGTATTGTACATGTTGGAATACTACACAGCAGAAAGAACTCCTACCCTTCAGTACAGCATGGATGGAAATGAAGAGTATTATGCTAAGTGAAATAAGCCAGGTAGTGAAAGACAAATACCATATAATCTCACCTACAAGTGGAACCTAATCAACAAAACAAGGAAAAAGAGCCACAGACATTGAAATAATGAACAAACTGACAGGGACCAGAGTGGAGGAGGGATAGGGATAATGCGGAAAACAAGGGAAAGAGCCAAGTCAAGGAACATGTAGTAAGGACCCATAGACAAAGACAATGGGGTAAGGAATGTCTTTGGGAGCAGGGCAGGGTGATGGGGGCTTAGATGGGGCAGGATAGAACAATAGGTGGGAATGGGGATGACTGTAACTGAACAATAAAAAAAGGAAAAAAATAATGTCTATAAAAAGAAACTGGTTCCTACCTTCCAATTCTAATTCTCCTCCAAGTTTACGTTGCTTATTAAATAAGACTATGCCTCTGTGATAGACCAGGTCCCAGGAAGGATATTGGCATTACCATTCCAACTCTCACTGGGGATAGAAATGTATAGTTGCAGGCTCCCAGATTCTCTGTATCATATCTATATCTATATCTCTGCCTACCTCTAATATTTAAAATGATCTTTGTTTCAAAGAGTAGTGCCATCAAAAACTAATTTATACAGCTGACCACAGAATTTATCCAGTTCTTAAAAATTGGTTACTGGGCTGACTTTACTAATCCCATTTATCACATAATAACTCTTCTGATGACTGCCCACTTACAGTATCTCCAAACTGGTGTTTGAAGTCAGCCTCAGGAGTAGCTGAGCTTGAATTCCTTTCCTTTGGTATGATGCTTTGGGCCTAGACATAGAAACTTTTAAATGGAATTAAAAAGGAAAATACAACAGCTAAGATCCTGAAAAGCCCTCCAGCTAACTTCTGTAAAACACTACATCAAATAAGCTCATGTTTTCCATATGGCTAAACACTGGAATTGAAAGTGCTATTAGAACTGAAAACAATTATGATGGCTTTCTGCTCAGTTTAGACATACTACACCATGATTTTTAGAACAGAATAAGGAAACAAATCTAAAATGCAAAAGAAAAGAAGAATGTTACCCCTCCCCAACATAAAATGTAAGTGGAGGGCAATGGATTATTTTTAGTTTTAATTTCAGTTAAATAAGAATGTAGGAAAAAATTCTAGTAATACAACTGAGCCACAGAATGAACTTCTAAGACTTTAACAAAAGTCCAGTGAAAAGAATCCTTTAAGATGAATATGACAATATTTATGCACTGAAAACATAATCCACCATTAGGCTGAGGTAAATACAGTGGCACAATCCTCTGAAAAAATATTTCTGACATAAAAAGGAATTAACTGTGTGGAAAAGGAATGTTCTCTCTTCTCCATTCACACCTCAAGTTTGTGTAGACTGCTCTGCTATTCCTGCATTCCCTGTTTCAGTTTCTTCTCAATAGAATCATTGAGAAAACAGAAAAAGTGATAGTGAACCAGATATAAGCAATTTCCAATGAAGACCTTAATAAATAACTTTAAAACAAGCATTTTTAGGCTCTAGCCATTATCCATTGATAAATGTGGATCTGTTGGCTTCTTTTTTCTTGAACAATCACAAGTCTTGAAGGCTTCAGAAGATGTTGTCCTCCAGAACTGCGCAGTATTTTATTTACTGAACAATAGATTTCACTACAAACCTACCTGCTTCATATTCTGTTGACCACTCTACCAATATAAACTTAATCTTCATAAATACAATAGTATATATTTTCATGGCAACAAGTCTGTATCCCTTACTGTGAAATTTATTTTCAAGGGAATCTGATGTTCCATCATGCATGAAGTTATTTGCTCCCAAAGTAACTTCATTTGCAAAATATCAGTAAAGTTCATAGCTCTCTATTAAAATTCAAGCCACTCTGTCATGTAAATACAATTGGATGGCGAAATCTCACCACCTTCATGGCAGTCGTCAAAAACCTTTAAAAGAAAAAAGTTTATATTCAAACCAAAGTTTTAAAAGTATTATACTACTAGGTAATGTCAAATTAAATGTCAACTATAACTCAAATTTCTGCTAACGCAAATATAAAAACATCCAACACCCAGATATTTATTTCAAGTGCTATTAAAAACAAAACTTTCAAATTGAAAGATTGGGACTGTACTTAGGAACATACTATACTATAATAGGACCTGCTCTGTGATCACAGAATTAGTGGGAATCTTTTACTATAGCATAAAGATGAGCATGTTCACTTGCCCACTGGGAAAAAGGCTATCAGTAGGTAACACAGGAATACAAGGAGGACCTATACACAAGAATGACTTAATTTTGATTTACCAAATGTTTCATTTTTAGCTTCCCTTTTTGTGAAGGGATGCTGAATAGAATTCCTAATACACTAGCCTTTTTTCTAATAATTGAAACCATGGCATAGAGTGCATAGAAGTATAAAAGGGACCAGTCTCATGAAATAAAACATAGACTAGCAACCCAAGAATACAAATGCGACAGTGCCTATAGCACACAGTTGACACTCATAAGCTAAATGGGAATGAATGAATGGAGAGTGTTGGAGCATGGTTGTTACTTCTAAGCTACATGCTCTTAGGTCTTCCTTAGCTTAACTTCCCTCCTACTTAAGAGGAAATGACACCACTAGCTAAAAAGGACACAAGGAGGATTAAATGAAACCACATATATCTTCAAAAATATGTCTGGCCATGGTACATTCTCAACAAATCTCACTTCCACCCTACTTAGTTTAAATGATTAATGCTTGTCAAAAAGTGTCCATGTCAGGGCCAACACAAATTTCTTATGTAAGGCAAGATTTGTTCATTAAATGTCTGTCATCAACGTTACATGAAGGTTTGAGATCTTGGTCAACCCTGAGAGTGAGAAACTGGGGTGTGCTTTTGCTGGTACGTTATGTGGCAGTCAGGTGTAAAGTGAAGTCACTTCAACTCACCGGACAGAGTCCACAGGGGGTCCGAACCAAACCCGTAGGTGGGATGATTGGATTGACTGCCCTATAGAGTTTCATGTGTCCATCTACACTGCCAACTGTGCCTTCTTTTGCAGCAATGATAGTCATCTCCACTTTCCCATCATAGATGAGTGTATTCAAGATGGTCTCAATGTCCTCCATGGACAACTCTACCTATAAAAGGGGATGTGTGAAAAAGGAAACAAAAAGGACAAGGAGACATTCTTTTGGAGGGGGTTAAAAACAGTATAGGGTCACAATTTCTTAGCGAAATGGGGAAGCATTATGCTGGCAAGTAATCAAAAGTACAAAGAGGCTGAACAATGGTCCAATTTAGCACTAACCACTCATGCTGGGGACAGAACAGTTACCTCAAACTGAGTTTGACACTTTCTGATATATTTACTCTTATAAGTAAAATCTAGAAGTCTTCTAAAGTAACATTTGTTTGGCAAGAACTTGATAGAGATTTATAAAATGCTTGAGTAGAATGGTACTTTAGACATCAAACAATCTTTAGTCAAAATTCATAGTTTTTTTAACAAATGAGAAATTTGGGAAATGAAAATGACTTGTCCAAATGTCCACTTCAATTTCTTCTCCAACTGTAAAGCATCTAGCATAATTTCCTTATGTATAGGTCTTAAAAACTATGATAACACTGCTTGCTTCTCATAAGATAGAAAATACCAATAAATGACAACTGACACGATTACTTATGTTTAGCACGTATGTGCCTGACAAAGTCAAGAACTTATCAGAACAGATTTTTCGATTCTGATAGTGAAATGCACTGCCAGGCCTCCATTCTGCTGCTCTATCTCCGAAGCTCACATACAGTTAACCAGTGCCAATGGCAATGACCATGTTTGCCTAACTGGCTCAGGACAGTGCTTTCTCAAAGTGGGTTCTACAGAATACTTACAAGTTATCACCTGAAAAAAGGATCCAGATCAAATATGTTTGGAACACATTGTAAACTATACCCCTATGATAAACAAGTTTTTAAAAATAAGATTAAAATTAGAAACTGAGTTCTAACCTTACTGATTCCCAATTCACAGATATATTTCCATACTTCGTGTGATGATGCAAAAGAACTATTTCTTTGTATCATTGGATTCTGTTTGCTTTCTCGTGCTGTTTCTGCCTATAAGGGTAGAAACATAAATCTCAGGAAGAATACTAACATTTCCTAAATATAATTTATACAGAGCAAAATCAATAGCAGAAAATATTTTGTTTAGTACATGACTATTTACTCAATTATGCCTTACCTTGGTTTGCAGGAACTTAAAACACTGTTGGTTAAGCACCTCTACAAATTCAGATTCAAAATCCTGGTCACTGTACCAGGCTCCACCAGTCACAGACCGGTCAGGTTGCAGGTTATAGAGCATATACACCTTTTTTTTTGAGGCCTAGGGAAAAACATGCACAGCAGACAAGGTTATAAGCTCATTCTCCCAAAGCTGGGATTTGGGGAAAAAAAAGCAACACAAAACAACAAAAAAAACAAACACTTATATTTTAAGAGTTTTAGATTTACAGAATTATTGTAAAAAATAGTATAAAATTTCCATTTACCTTGTAATAATTTCCTTATTATTGACATCTCACACGAAGAGGGTACATTTGTCACAATTAACAAACCAATATTGATATATTATGAACTAAACTACACTTTATTCGTATTTCCTTAATTTTTCCATAATGTCCCTTTTATGTTTCAGGATTCTATCTAAGATACCACATTAGACTTAGCTGTCAAGGCTCCTGAGGCAATTTCTAGCTGTTACAATTTCTCAGTCTTATTGATGAACTTGCCAGTACTGAGAATTACTAGTTAGATATTCTATAGGATGACCTTAATTGGGATTTGTATGATGTTTTTCTGATGATTAGACTGAAAAAAAAAAAAAGACCACAGAGGTCAAATGACCTTCTTATCACATCATATCAAGAGTATTTGATTATCACCAAGTGATGACAGATTGTCAACATTATGACTTATCAGTGCTGATATTAACCTTTAATTTCCTGACTAAAAGTAGTGATGCTCACTTTTCTTCACTGTAGTTACTTTTTCTCCTGCCCTTTCTTGGGGAGAAAGTCACCATGCACAGTCCACAGTTAAGAATTGGGAATTATGTTTTACTTCCTTTAGGGTGGAATGTCTACATAAATTATTTGGAGTTTTTCTGCACATAAGATTTGTCTAATCTGCCCCATGTATTTATTTATTCAAACATTTATCTGGTGGCATGGATTCATGAATATTTATACTACTTTATTCTGCAATCTTGAAAACATGATGCTAAGTGAAAGAAGGCAGACAAAAAAGACCATATATTGTATAATTCTATTTATAGGAAATGTTCAGAATAGGCAAATCTATAGAGACAGAAAGCACATTAGTGATTGTCAGGGTCTGGGGGCAGGGAAAGTAGGGAGTGACTGCTAGTGGGGTCACATTTGGGGGTGATAAAAATGCTCTAAAATTAGAAGAATGTGATAGTTGCATTTTTCTGTGAAAACACTAAAACCCAATAAATCATACACTTTAAGGATTAATTTTATGATATATAAGCTAATATCTCAATGAAGCTATTAAAAATAAAGATGTAGGAAAATTATCAAAATCAAGCTAGGTGATGGGTATGTGGGGATTCACTATATTACTTTCTTTACTTTTGTATTGATAGGAAATTATCCATTAAAAATATGCAAGAGAAATAACATTCTAACTTAGGCAGTGGTATGACACAAATATCATTGATTAAATAAAATCAAATGAATATTAAATCTTCTTTGCAGTTCACCTGATTTCTAAAAAATATTACTTTTCAATTACAGTTAACATTCAATATTGGTTTATATCATTTTCAGGTGTACAGCACAGTGGGTAGACAATCATATATTTTACAAAATGATCCTCGCGATATTTCAAGTACCCAACTGGCACCATGACAGTTACTACATTATTGACTATATTCCCTATGCTGCACTTTATATTCCTGTAACTATTTTGTAACTACCAATCTATACTTTTTGTACACTTCACCTTTGCACCCAGCCTACCAACTCTTCCTCCACTCTGGCAACCTCGCAATTGCTTCTCTATATCTATGATTCTGTTTCTATTTTGTTTATTCATATATTTTTTTCTTTAGGTTCCACATATAAGTAGTCACACATTTTCTTTGTCTTTCTCTATCTAACTAATTTCATTTGGCATAATACTCTCTAGATCCATCCATGCTGTCACCAATGGTAAGATTCCATTCTTTTTTATGACTTTTTTATGAGTTATACATATGTGTTTCAATCACTACTTTTTTATCTATCCATCTATTGATGGGTACTTGGGTTGCTTCCATATCTTTGCTATTGTAAATAATGCTGCAATGAATATACGGGTGTACATATTGAATCAGTGTTTTGGGTTTCTTCAGATAGTTACCCAGAAGAGGAACTGCTGAGTCATAAGGCAGTTCCATTTTTAACTGTTTTGAGGAACCTTCATACTGTTTCCCATAGCAGCTGTACCAATTGCATGAATATCAAATTCTTAAATGCTAAAATTTGTGTTCAAGCCAACTTTAGTCTAGGGGAATCCTGGCTCTTCTGATGCCTAAATCAGAGAGGTCAACAGCAGATGTCTCTGATGGACCCAGCTCTGGAGTATGGAGCCCCTGAAGGACGTGATGGGTGGACAGGATGAGGAAGAGAAACACTATCTGCTGGAACAGAAGCTCCACCAAAGCAGGGATCTTTCTCTGACTTGTTCAATAATGTATCCCAAGCACACAAATCAGTGCCTGGCACATAGCAAATACACAACAGATATTTGTTCAATGAGCAATCTGTCAGGATGAGATAAATTCTCTTATATATCACAAAATCCAGGAAAAATGTTCATGATTCCAAAAATTGTCCTGAATAGCTTTAGATTTTTGAGTGGTTAGACAACTAGACAGTGCCATATCTAACTAAGCAGTACCTTCAAACTAATGAGCTAAATTTTTAAAAATCTTTTTTGATCAGTTGCTTTAAATCACAACATAGCTTAAATAACAATTTAAAAAACCCTGAAATATACTTGGAGCAATATATGTACAGCCAACATTCAAGAGAAGAAAAGAGAACACTACTCACTGCCACAGACTTAACAGCTTTGATAAGCTTTTTACTTTCCAAATTCTTTAGAATTTTATTAATTTCTGTTAATGGCAAATTACTTTTATACCGGATATCTCTGCTCCATATTCCTAGGAGAAAGTAAAGTAAAATAAGTTGAAAACTCTAGGATTTGTGTTTATAATCCCCATTGCTTATATTTCATTCCAAAACTAGCAAAATATATATGTATATACTCCTAGTGCTTAGCTATTGGAAAAATTAAGTGACTTAGAAGAAAGAATCTCAGATAGGGTAGCAAAAGCATGCAAAAACAATACCTAAGTTATATGTTCTATTTAGCAATTGAAAATTTATTGGAATCCTAACATGGAAACTTTTTAAAAACAAATGAAAAGGACATTTTTGTAATGAAAGAAAAATGTTGAATGTTATTGAATTAATGTAGTTTTGCACTACACAATGACATCTCACTCAGTGATAAACTGCATATATACTAGTAGTCCCATAAGATTATAATAGAGCTGGAAATTCTATTACTTGGTGACATCACAGCTGTTCTAATGTGGTAGCCCAACCCATTACTTATGTGTTTGCAGTGATGCTTCTGTGAACAAACCTGCCAGCTGTATAAAAATACAGCATATACAATTAATTACAGTATATAATACTTGATGATGGTAAGTGACTATGTTACTGATGTATGTATTTACTATACTTTTTATCATAAATTTAGAGTATACTCTTTTTACTTATAAAAAAAGTTTGCTGTAAAATAGTATGCTGCAGTAACCTCATACAAATCAGATTTACTGTGTCTGTTGATTGTATCCTTTTCTCTAGTGCCTGATTTAATTTCAGGTTGTTTTCTACAGCAACATGCTGTATAGGCTTATAGCTTAGGAGCAATAGTCTGCACTATTATAATCTAGTTGCGCAGTAGATTTATACCATCTAAGTCTACTTTCTTTTTAAAAAAATGTTATTTATTGATTGGAGAGAGAGAGGAAGAGAGAAACATCAACTTATTGTTCTCCTTACTTATGTACGTATTCCTTGGTTAGTTCTTCTATGTACCCTGACTGGGGATTAGATCCACAACCTTGGCTTATGGGAACAATGCTATAACCAACTGAGCTACCCAGCCAAGATGGTTTATACCATCTATGTTTACGTGAACTCTATGACGTTTGCAAAACGACAATGAAATCACCTAACAATGCATTTTCAGAACTTATCCATGTAATTAAGTGGTGCTTGACTATATTGTCTCTTCCATTCCCTCCTGCACCTCAATCTTTGTTTTCTATAAATTTCCCTTCAGATTATATACGTGAAAAACAAACAAGTTTGGGATCGGTCAGCTGCTATCTTCAAGGGAAAGCAAAAACCTCTTTATGGCAGCCCCTCTGTCCATTCTTTATACAACACTTTATTGGGGAGATGAAAAATAGGAAGATTATAGTTCTTATAGCCAGTAAAAGTCCTGCACAGAAAGCTGTAATTTTTCTTTCAAAAAAGGAAATAGTGAAAATGGGAATTTTATGTGAAAATACTTTGCTGTATTTTCTTCACAACAGAGAAGCATAATGATAGGAAGAATTTTTTTTAATAGAGAATGGCTTTTTCATAGGTCTATTTAATACATTTTAATTAAACTTTCTGATTAATACATATGAAAATTACATGGTTTCAGATTACCTCATAAATGTTAAAGCTAACAGATCAAAGAGATCCTAAATTGTAGTAACAACAATTTAGATATAGTTCTTCTATGAAGATAGAGGAACTAAAAAGCTGTTGAGGGACCTAGTCAGACAATGCCACACTGCACTACACATCTCTGTTTTTTGACAAACCCAAACAGATGTTATTATCCATAGTTTACAGAGATGAAGAAAATAAGGCTTCCAAAGCACAGAGAGTGAGGATTAAAAAAAAAAAGAACCTTAAGTTTTAATTTATTTTGGATAATACAATCACATAGTTCAACATTCAGAACTTTCTTTCCATCCCTAACCACAGTCATCGAACTCCTGCCTCCTTTGAGGCAACAATGACATCACTCCATGAGTCCCTTAAGCATATGTGCAGTACAGGGTAGGACAAAAGTAAGCTTACAATTGTTCATATGGAAAATAATACAATTAATAAATAATAATACAAGAATAAACTGTTTTGCATACTCACAATTGTAAACCTACTTTTTTCCTACCCTGTATATATGTATACTTCCCTCTCCTTTTTACATAAATGGCAGTGTACACATGATCCATACCCTGGGAAGCCAGGATCTCAGTTCCTATATCTAGTCCTTGTTTTTTTCTGCTTCTTCCTTCATATGCTTACCTTTATTTCCTGCATCCTCTATGATCTGATATACTAGTTTTTCTTGGTTATCTGATCCCTTCATTTTACTGCAGGGGAATAAAATAGAATTAGAAAGGCACAGAGAAACACAATAATCCAATAATCTACATGACTACTTAAATGAATCAACAGACAAAGTCATCACACTAATTTATTTACCAAAAAAAGGGCATACCTTAAAAAAGAATGAGACAAGTTAAAAAAAAAAAGTTGCAAAACAGTGAGGCTAGTCCTGACTGGTGTGGCTTAGTGAGTTGGGCATGGTCCCACAAACTGAAAGGTCATTGCTTCAATTCCTGTTCGGGGCACATGCCTGGGATGTGGGCCAGGTCTCCAGCTGGGGGCATGCAAGAGGTACCTGATCAATGTTTCTCTAGAACATTGATGTTTCTTTTCCTTTTTTTCTCCCTCCCTTACCCTCTCTAAAAACAACTAAATAAAATCTTAGAAAAAAACAGTACAGACAGCATGATCCCATTTTTGTCTAAAAGAGATTATATATAAATATATAAGCATCTGTATGTATTTATATATATATAGAAGAAAAGATATATACCAAATTATTAACAACAGTTATCTCTGGGAAATGGAACTCATGATAGGAGACAAGGATGATGTGTAGGAGGTTTACATTATGCTATTCTGTATTGGCTTTTTTTCAAAAGCATGTATTACTTTTGTAATAATTAAAGTTTTTTAAAAAGATTTTATTTATTTATTTTTAGAGAGAGGGAAAGGGAGGGAGAGAAACATCAATGTGTGGTTGCCTCTTGTGAGCCCCCTACTGAGGACCTGGCCTGCAAACCAGGTCTGTGCCTCAACTGGGAATCAAACTGGTGACCCTTTGGTTTGCAGGCCAGCACTCAATTCACTGAGCCATACTGGCCAGGGCAAAGGTTTTCTTAAAATGATATAATTTGGTGCTTACCCAGCATTCTGAGAATCCTTTATTCTATAGAGAAGGCCTGTATTGCTCCTTAAGAGATCCAACTGACCCTATATTTTTAAAATAGAAAATAGCAGTTAATTGCTTTGTAGATACACCAAATCCAATGACAAATGTCAATGAATGAATTCTTTAATGTTTTACACAGACTAAAATATTCTACCTGTTTTTTTTAAAATATTTTGTTTATTTATTTTTAGAGAGAAGGGAAGGGAGGGAGAAAGAGAGGGAGAGAAACATCAATGTGTGGTTGCTTCTCGTGCAGCCCCCACTGGGGAGTTGGCCCTGCAACCCAGGCATGTGCCCTGACTGGGAATTGAACCAGTAACCCTTTGGTTCACAGGCTGGCACTGAATCCACTGAGCTATACCAACCAGGGCTCTACTTCTTGTTATCTGTCAGTTCCACACTTGAGATTTAAGTTTTTGCCTACCTATCACATGCCATGTATTTTTAAAAACTTACCTCTTTATCTCATCATTTTCTAAAATATTAACACCTAACAATTACCTATATGCTAGATCCTGGCTTAGTTATATGATCAATGTATAAAGATTATAAACAAGCAGCTTTAGAATAATAGAAAAAATCTGTATTCAAGTTAAAATAAAATAAATACAAATAAAATATAATTTATGTAATATAAAGTTCAAAAAAAGGCTGACATGCATATTCTATCACATGATGATTAAATAAAAGTTACAAAGTTAATAGTGACATTTACTGATACATGTGATTTCTATTGTGTTACATGAAAATTAGGCAGAAGTTCAACCAATGAATAAAAGACCTGCAATTCTGTTGTTCTCTAGTGAGTCAAAAGTAAAATAAAGCATGTCTGACATATGCTTCTGAATTTCCTTGGGTCTGAACTTAGGAACACCCACATGACTGTACCACTGGGTTTCTGGCAGTATGGGGAAGCCACGGGTAAGACTGGGGAGACCCATGACTTGAAAATGGGTTTACCTATGGCTTAACAGTAATACCTCCCCAATGACTCCACTAAGCAGCAAAACTGAACACAAAGCTCAATTTAGAGGCTCCAAATCAGTCTTTTAATTCAACCAAGAACATTTAATGAACACCAGTCTATGATTGCTGTTTGGGGGTACAAACATGAATTCTAAAAAAGAATCACACAGCTAAATTCAATACAATCTGATTGGCATTGAGAGAGGTAAGTGCCCAGGCCAGTGTAGCTCAGTTGGTTGGAGTGTCATCCCATAAACTGAAAGGTTGCAGGTTTGATTCCCAGTCAGGACACACACCTAGGTTGCAGGTTCGGTCCCCAGTTGGGCCACATACAAGAGGCAACCAACTGACGTTTCTCTCTCACATCGCTGTTTCTCTCCCTCTTTCCTTCCCTTCCCCCCTCTCTAAAATAAGCATATCCTGGGGTGAGGCTAAAAATAATAATTTTTTTTTTAAATAATGTAAGTAATGGGTGGGATGGGCTTTCAGAAAAGAAGCTTTGGCCCAATCTGGGATTCAGGGAGGTTTCCAGGAGAAAAGAGCAGAGCTGAGTCTTGAAAGATAATGAGAAGTTAGTCTGTGAAGAATGGGAAGAAGGGCCTTCCCTTTTAAGCAAGGAAGACTGCTTGAGCAAAGGGTCTGGGGCATACAATATCATAATGTGGTAGGAAACCAAGAAGAATCTGTTCCCTTTGAAACCTAACTTTTGAGGCACAACGATGGCAAGAGGTAAGGCAGGTAAGGAAGGCAGGGGCTTAATGTGGTCAATTCATGAGTTTAGACTTGAATCTCTACTGCTAAAAAAGAAGCATTTCTGCTAGATAAGTGACTTAGTCAGATCTGTATTTAAGGCAGATCAGGCTATCTGCTCTGAAGCAGATGGAACCAGAAAATCCAGTTAGGATGCACTGCAATAGTCCAGGTAAAAGCCAAGAGCCTGAACACATGTGTGGGTAGTAGGAATGGAAATAGAGGGACAATTTGAGACTTATTTAAGGGCTAAAATCAGTAATACTTTGTGGTTTATTAATAATCACTCTTTTGTTTAAAATTCTTTAATAGCTCCACCACTGCCTACAGCCTATAAGCTAATAGGACTGGCAGTAGATGGGATCCATCACAGAGGTGGTAAAAGAGAGGAAGGTACTGAGGACGATTTTCAGACAGAAAGGAAAGGGCTGAAAGGGTGGTAACAGAACAAAAACATTTTCCATTGCCACAACCTCCCAGCATTCCTTCATCTATTCTTCCTGGAGCTGAAGATTTTTGTCAACATGAATTGACTAGAAAGCATCAACAGTCCCTTTTCCTGGTGCTAAAACAAGGGTCAGCAATCTAGGCCATTGCTTTTTACAAACAGTTTTATTGGAACACTGCCACATCCATTTATTTAGATGCAGACCATAACTATTTTCTTGAAAAATTGATCTATTGTGACAGAAACCAAATGGCCCAATAAAGCCTAAAATGTACACTCTGGCACTTAAGTTTTTAAAGATTTTAATTATTTATTTTTAGAGAGAGGGCAAGGGAGGGAGAAAGAGAGGGAGAGAAACACTGATCAGTTACTTCTCATACATGCCCCAACCAGAGACCAAACCTGCAACCCAGGCATGTGCTCTGACCAGGAATCTAACCAGCGATCTTTCACTTTGCAGGATGATGCCCAACCAACTGAACCACAATAGTAAGGACTGCTATCTGGTACTTTATACAAAAAGTTTGCCAAACTGTGAGCTAGAAGGTTGAAGGGAACAGTTTAACAGAAAATTCGCCTGTCCTCAAATCTCCATATCCAGAGTCCTTAGAAATCCAATAATGCTGATAGATTTAAAAAGTGTAACAGCCTTCAAATGAGCCCTTAGTATAGAAATCTTTTACTTAATTGCTACTAAGCAAACCAAAATGCTCTCAGGACATGGAAGTTTTGATGATAGAGGAAAGGAAGGAGAAATAGGCAGATTTAGAGCATGGGGACTACTAGTTAGGGTGTTTTGGGGCAGTAGAGGAGAATGAAGAGGTGAGAGCAGGTGAAAGGGATTCACTGAAAACAAAAAAAACCCCCACTGCTATTACTTGGGGCACCGCCTGCACTTCCTCCCAGAGGCCCCACACTGTTCACATTCAACTGGACTCATTCCTGCTTCTTGAAATGCTCAATGTAAGATTGTGGAGAATGATACCCTAGTAAGTTGGTTCTTTGATGACTCTGAAAAATCAGGGCGATGTATTTCATAGGGAATGTCCCAACACCAGTACGAAGAAAACAGAAGGTGAGTAGAGACTATGTCTATATACCTTTATGTATCTTAAAGACAATTAGGTTAAGAAATATAACAGTTAAACAACATATTTACTTCATTTGTCTTGTAAAATAATTAATAATTTTCTTTTTCCTCAATTCAGGCAATTTGAGCTGTTTCCTGGTTTAGAATCTTATCAGTCACAACCTAACATACCTTCTAATGTTTTTATGACTAATAACAGAAAGTAATTACAATGATAATTTAAAAAAACCAATTACATTAACTAGTTGGATTCACCTTACCATAGACAACAGTCTATTGATTGCCACTGCCCGCTGCTGAGCCTCTATATGAGGCATTTCATTTTGAATTACTTGGTCTGTAATTCCATGAGGGAACTGGTGACATAATTCTATAATCCTAAGAACAAAGACATTAACAACATTATTCATGTTTTTAGTTATTTTTAAGAGGCAGTGGGGGGAAATACTAGAACAATTTGAAATTGTGTCTTTTTTCACATTTGGGTTTCTATGATGGTTCTGAATCAAAGCTTTCAAAATACATGTTTATTATTACTTAAGGAAAATATTTTTCTTTCACTAATATGAACTTTAGAACAAAAATCAATGAAAACAAGGAAAAATCTTAATCCTATGACTTCAATTTTCAATTTTCTCAGACACGAGTACGACAAAATTAAGCTACTGTGCATTGGACAGCCATAAGTGTGCAAGCAGGAGGCAAGTCAGATACTTCTGGTGGGAAGCCAAAATTTTTAACAATTCACAACTACGGCCTGCTTTTAGAATGATCTCTACCAACCTCCACCCCCCTCCCCCCAAAAAAGTCCAAATCTTCACCTTGTCATGGCATCATCATGTTATTCATAACAGTTTGAGAAATTTGGTCCTTTTAAAACCATGTATGTGGTAAGCTAAAAGAAGCAATGCAATGATAGAGAATATAAAATAGAGAGAGGCTTTAGGTGCCCCACAATCTTGACTTAAATACTGCACCAAAACCGTATTTGGCTAAATGATGCTTTGTAATCACAAACTGCACCCTAACTTCGCCCAAGCGTTCTGTCGTGGTAGTTACCACAGTGATAAGAGCGATCTAGGATCAGAACGTGTATCCTCACGTTCTACTGCAAAAACGCCGTCTCCTTTTTGAGAATCGACCAACCTTAACTCAGGAAGGCAGCGCATCATCATAAGTTCCCGAACAGCATCGCCACAGCTACACAAAATTGCAGACTGTCAAGTTCCTTTCGAACTTCTTAAGAGTTTTGCTCTTCAGGGGTGAGGGGGAGGTCCAAACCTGGCAACCCCCTTCCTAAGCGCTCAATGAACTTGTGCCGGTACCTCCCGAAGGTCCCCGATGAAAGGATCCCGCTGCCCAAAAGACCCGCCGCCTGCGGGGCTCCGGACCCACTAATTTACCTGTTTTCTATTTCTACCGGATCTGCGTCCGGCAGCTGCAGCTTCACCTTCACCTCAGCCATGAAGGTGTAGTTCCCACCCCTACTGGGAAGAGACGCGCACAGTGCCCAGACAGCAAACAGCAGCACTGGTGAACCCGAGAAGACAGCACCAGGCCTGGGCGGTGGGCCTTCTTCCCCTTGTCGCAGCCGGTCCTTCCTTATCTGTCGGCTTGAGGTGGCCAAATCACGCCTGTTCCCCCACACTCACGGGCGCCGCCATATTCTCTCTTTTTTTTTTTTCCAGAATGCCATTGCCTCTCGGCGAACGAGTCTAGTTCCCTCAATCTGAGTTGAGATGCCGGTTTTTAGCACCTTTCCAACCTCTGTGAAGGCATATTCTCGGACGCCTACGGTGAAGCCTTGGGAAAGGAGCTTCAGGCGGGTACCCCTCACCCCGTCAAGCCTCAGGGGCGGAGCTGGTTGCTCCGAACCGGGTTTCCACCAATGACCTGCCTAGCTCTCAGTAGGCGGGGCGCGACTCGCAGCGTCTTTGGTAACCAAGACCTTGGCGAAGGAGAAGGCCTGAGGCAGTGAGAGGTGGGTTTCTTGGGTGGGGACTGCAGTATCTCGGGGGTCTCAATTCGGTCCCGTTAGCTGCAGGTGGTTGAGGAGGAGGACCTCCCACACTCCTGTCGAAAGAGAAAGAAAATCCCTGACTGCCCGTAATTGGCGGGAATCGGGACCAGACGGGGTTCCGGATCGGAGTGACGAAGGGGCAGTGAGGGAGATGGAGTTGGGGCTTGGGTGTGCTGTTTTCCCCACACAGTCACTTGGGCCTGTCGGTTCGGTCTACACCTTGATCCCCTTTGCTTGAGGCCCACTTGCCGCCCCGGACTCCCAAGGGCTGCCCCTAGGTAGCCGCGCCCGATTTACTCGCTCCTAATTACTCATTTTTTTCAACTATTTTTTGTTTTAACTGCCTCTCACGCAGATGGAAATGTGACGACGCGCAAGCCCCCTAAGTCCACCCATCCTTTTGTAGGGGCTAGTGATCTATTAGTATTTGCAATTCAAATTCTTGACCTCCGACCTGGAACTACGATTGTATCTTACCAGGCATTAAGTTCTCTCCCTTATTTGTTTATATCACTTTTGGGAATACAGTCTGTGACAAAACTCAAACCACAAGATGTTCAGAGCAGCATTATTTATAATTGCAACAATCAAAAGAAACTAGTAATATCTTTAATACCTAACCACGAATTGATAAAATTATATAAGTACATGGAAAATTGTAAATAATAGAGTGAGAGGCAATAAATAAACTATAAAATTAAATGAATATATAGATTATAGTTGAGTAAAATATATGTATCTACAAACATTGGAATTTGAATAGGCTATACAGTGATGTAAAAGGTGATTGTGTTAAGGTGAGGGGGTTTTTTTCCTTAAATTCTTTACATACTAAAAATTATGACACTGTCCAGAAAAAAAATTAGTAAGGCCTCCATACTTATATTTAATAATTTTATATTTATTAATAACTATATAATATTTCTATTTCTATTTGCCACAACCGGCGCGGCTGGATAGGTCAGGTCCTGAGGGAAGGCGAGGAGGGGGATTGAGAAATAAAGAGACAGAGTCAAAGTGGGGTCAGGTGGAGTCCCTTCTCTGGGATGCAGAGGAGGGAACTGTTTATTGGTGAAGTCAGGCTATATATATTGAGCCAGCTTTGAAGCAGAGCATGAGAAAGACAAACTGCAAGGCTAGGTACATTTTGTTTTTAAAGAACATTTGCTGCTCCTTCTTGGTACAGTGATATAGCAAGCAGCCAAGTCATTCCTTTCTTAAAACAATCTGTCAGGCAGTCTTCCATGGCCTAGGGCAGCTGTGCTGAACCTGAGGCTTCCAAGTCCCTTGGCACGCATTATTCTGCTTGGTTCTCTACACTATTTAAATATATGTATATAAAATATATATTTATTAATATATTTATAATTTATAAATATAGTAGATGGAGTGGGAGACTTTTGTGTTTGTTGCTCACTATTCATATTGGTGACAGCTTTCTTTTCTCTGAGGCTTGATACCTGACATCCTTTTAAAGTTCCTTTGCAGCATTCAAATGCAAGAACTACCTGATGAAAACTGCAGGGCCTTGAACCTGGAGCTTACCCAAAGGAGTTGGATCTAAATTAACATTTCATGCTATATACAGAGTTACATCTGTTTTTCTTGTATGATTACTTGCCCCGAGGCCAAGAGAGGTGGCACAGGAAAAGCAGATAATGATCCAGGGGGAACTTGGACCAGATCATTAGTGATGGTCTCTGTTCTTACACAGTCATTTAATTTGCCCATTTAAAATAACTCCATTCCCCCACCCCATATATTCATGCTCTTTTCCCATGAGTAAGGTTAAGTATTTAGAATCAAAACCCCAATACAAGACTTCAACAGCAAAAAATACAGCTGAAGCAATAATCATTTCAATTAAAAATCGAATGAGTCACGCTGGAGGCGTGGGGTCATGCTGGGGAGCTCGATTCTGGGACTGTCAAAGAAGGCACAGCGCGGAGGGAACTGCACTAGAGGGCCCCTGAAGTAGAAGCAGTCGCAGCTACCGTTACCCGCTGAGCGCAGCCCAGACGGCCATGGCGTTGTCAATACGCTTCACCCGGCTGAAGGAGGAAGACAAAGAGCCCACCATCTCTTCATTAAGGCTGGCAGTGAGGGTGAATGCTTAAGAAATTGCCCCTTTTCCCGGAGGCTCTTCACAGTTCTTTGGCTTCAAAGGAGTTGTATTTAGTGTCACAACTGTTGGCCTAAAAAGGAAGTGTGTAAACCTGCAGAACTTGGCTCCCGTGACCCACCCACCATTTTGGACTTTCAACAATGAAGTCAAAATGGATGTAAATAAGATTGAAGAATTTCTTGAAGTCTTATGTCCTCCCAAGTACTTAAGCTTTCACCAATACACCCAGAGTCAAATACTACTGGAATGTACCTCTTTGCCAAATTCTCTGCATATATTAAGAATTCAAGCCAGAAGCTAATGAAGCATTGGAGAGGGGTCTCTTGAAAACACTGCAGAAATTCCATGAATATCTGAATTCTCCCCTCCCTGATAAAATTGATGAGAATAATATGGAGGACATCAAATTTTCCACATGTAAATTTCTTGATGGCAATTAAATGACATTGGCTGATTGCAACCTGCTGCCCAAACTGCACATTGTCAAGGTGGTGGTCAAAAAAGTATCACAGCTTTGATAGTTCAAAAAGAATAACTGGCATCTAGAGATACTAAACTAATGCTTATAGTAGGGATGCATTCACTAATATCTGTCCCAGTGATGAGGGAGTTGAAATAGCATATAGTGTTGTAGCCAAAAGACTTACCAAGTAAAATAGCACTTATGAGACAGATGTCTTCACATCTTATCCTGACAAAAATATGCTTTTCCTAGCAGACTGCTACACTTCCTATAAAGTAGAATTTTATTCTTCATGAACATGGCAGTTATTCAATATTAGCATAAAGGCTAGATAAGGTATAGTGGCTATTTTTAAACATATACTCTTAAGCAGTATTATTTTAAAATTCTTTTACCCTGCCTACCTCTTTTACCCCAGGTCCTCCTCTGTTCTAATTTGGAGACACTTCATCACAAACTTTTACTTTAGAGGTAGTGTGCCATCTCTCTAGAGCCATCACTTTTGTGTCCATTCACTGTGTATAGATGGCAGGACTTTAGAGGTGCAATATTGAACTATTAAAATAGTAACCATGGCCTCATCACTCAGCCCCAAACTGGTGCATAATGCATAGTACAGGAATATTTATGTATTTTTGGAATTCTATAATATTTACTAAGAGTATATGAAAGGACTGCTACTGTTTCAAAAAACTCAGTTTAGTCTATCTTGAATATGTGCTAAAGGGTGTTACCACTAGAGAAGAGAGCCTTCTACCAAAGTCACTACAGATTTTGCTATTTTACTTTGTATGTGGATTTTTACTTTTCCTAAAAGCATTTATCCTTTAAACCAATTATAACATCTAACATTATATAGAAGCTAAAAGTTTAAAGGAGGGATAATATTCTCAATCCTCCTTGAGCACTTTAGCCATATAAGATATACCAATGGCCACCTGATATTGTCTAAATGTGTTTGCTATATGTATTTTGCCCACTGCCATTCATTTGGGACATTATTGCTCTCTTCCATTATTTTAAACATGTCCTTTTTATAAGTAAGCATAGACTTTGCTGTTTGTAGATTTTCTGAGCAACACTACATAAACTAATATTTAATTGATTGAGCTATAGCGATACAGTGATAGTCCAAAAAGGTCATAAGGTGACGCGGGCTCACCTGCCTGCAGTGAGTGCAGAACGCTGTGGATGGCTCGTCAACACGCGAGAAAAACATACACAGAGACAACCAGGTCCTGTGGGGGAGTAAAAACAGAATGGCCACTCTCTCTCTCTCTAGTGGGGAGAGCACCCTGTCTTCATTCCCAAGCAGATTTTTATTGAGAAAACAGACTTAGTTTGTGGATTCACAGTCTGGCAGAAAAGATCAAAAGATATAGGTGACTTACAAAGGTGCAGACAGAACTCCTGCTGGGATTCTGGGCAAAGTTTGGGGTTTTAACATGTGAAAGGACTACAGGTTCCAAAGGTTTCCTGTCTGTGCCTTTAAATTCCAAGTTAATAACATCCTCCAGCAAACAGATCTCACAGGATCTTGCATACTCAAGGTCCCAGGCCTGATTACCCCAGGGGTCTGCTGTTTCTCCTCTGGGCTGCCCCTGCAGGCCTGAGATAACAGAGAAGACAAAGGCAGCCAGGAGACTTGGATTTCTCACAAGGACTCAGGCTTTGACAAAGCCGAGGGGGCAGGGGTCAATCACCCCTTCATATGCACAGCCCCTTCCCTTAGGGCATTCCCACATGATCACGTC